GTGCTTATCACTGAACTTTCAAATGGAATGATAATTATTAGGGGGGAATTATAAAAATTATTTAACACTCTCAAACTGCAAAGGAAAAAAAGGGCTACACAGACCGCCCTCCCCCAACGAATTCATTTTTTACACAAGAGATCAATTCCAGAATCAGTACTTCCTAATTGTAAGCAGGCTTCCCCCTGGAGCTCAACTTTCCCTTCTCAGATACATCCTGCCCACACCCTCACCCACCCACACTCCTTTATCACTAATTACACTGAGATTTCACCAGTTACCACTATTCTACCCTCCCACTAGCACTCCCAATACCTTTTAGCTGGGAGTTTTTTTCTAAGGCCCAACCCTCTAAGTCCTCTAAACAGGACTCATCTAACACTCTCTCCTTAAACGCTAGCTTTTCAAGCTAACTATAGCGTAGTGGTAAAGACCAGGAGCTGTGAAACCAGATCAAGGTCAAACATAGATCCTGCCACATAACAGCTGCTTAACACTGGGCAAATTGGTTAGCCTCTGTGGGTCTCTACTTTTCTCATCTAAAGAATGGGATACTAATAGTGCATACCTCAGTTACTGTTAGGATGCATTAAGTTTCTACCTTTTAAGTCCTTGTTATACTGAAATTGGTATTACCACTACCACCCCCTCACCATCCTTTTTTGAGAGAGAAACTCATACAGCACTGCACATGGGAATACTATAAAATCAAGGAATCCAAAATAATATTAAATTTTACATTTCAGTAAATCATTAATATAAAAGTCAATGGTGGGTTGATTTGCTAGTAAATCACCACAATTGAGTACTTAGCATACATCATGCCTTTTGCTATGTTTTCACTTACCTCATTTAATTTGTATAGACCTATACTTTCAGATGTGTAGTGAACATTACCATAAATTCCTTGGATTCCTCAAATCCAGCATACTCAAAATTTGAACTCCTCTTCCACCCCAAACCTGCTTTGCCTATTTTTCTACCTCCCTGAATGCCATCATCATCATCACCTAGTGCCCCAGCCAGAAATCCAGGAGTCATCCTTGACCCTTCCTTAACCCTTCCTGACCCTAACCCTTCCATTCTGTATCCACTGTGTTGCTACACTGGAGATAAACAGAAGATGAAGGTTATGGGTATAGACAAGTTTTGAAATCAGTGATACCCTGGTCATTAAAAAATGAGGCAGAAAACACAAACGAGCAAATGAAATCAAAGAACATAACCTTGAAGGTGACCCATGTTATACTCTTCTCACCTGATTCACCTACTATTGCTTTTATTCATATTTTGTCTTTATCACTCCTGGATTATTACAACAGCCTCTGGAATTCCTGGTCTTCGAGTTCCTTAACCAAAGTTCTATAGGACACCAACTTCCTTATAAAACCCTGTTGTTAGAACAGACTCTAAGTATAGAGAACAATCTCAGTTGCTAGAGGGGAGATGGGCCAGGGGATGGGTTAAATGGGCGATGGGGATTAAGAAGTGCACTTGTGATGAGCAGCACTGGGTGTTGTACATAGGTGATGAATCACTGACTTCTACACTTGAAACTAATAATACACTGTATGTTAACTGGAATTTAAATAAAAACTTGTAAAAGAAAAATATTAGGAATCCACGACTTATCAGGGTTCTTACTTTAAATCCTTTTTTTTTTTTTGCCTGAATTACCAATAAACATCTTTCTTTAGGGAAAGAAACAATTATTGTTCACATCATTCCCAAATGGTAGCTCCATTTCAAATGTTATTTCCTTCTAAGTATCCCTTGCTTCTCTAGTTGAAATCCATTCTTTCATATTCCCAGAAGCCTTTATCAATTACTATTCATGAAATATCACCATTTATGATTGATATTTAGATTTCTACCTCAATATTTTGAGTAAAGTGAAAACAAGTCAATGTGAAAGAAGCAAAAGGTGAAACTGAGAACTTGATTAATGTAAAGGCTCTTTGGGACAGCCTTATGGTAGCAGTTCTCAATCCTGTCTGCACATTGGAATCAACTGGGTAACTAAAAAAAATTCTGATGCCTGAGTCCCAGAGTACAGGTCCTGGGTGCAGCCTGAGCACTGAGATTTTTAAAAGCTTTCCAAGGGATTCTGATGTGCAGCCAAGGCCGAGAAATACTGATCAATGAGAAATTTTAAAAAAGGAGTTAAGAGAATAAAGAATTTTTATTTATTTTTTTAAAGATTTTATTTATTTGATAGAGAGACAGACAGAAGAGCACAAGCAGAGGGAATGGCAGAGGGAGAGGGAGAAGGAGGCTCTGCACTGAGCAGGGAGCCTGATGCGGGACTCGATCCCAGGGCCCTGGGATCATGACCTGAACCGAAGGCAGATGCTTAACCATCTGAGCCACCCAGGCGCCTGAGAATAAAGAATTTTTAAATGGAAGTAAACACCTGGTGAAAATCAAAAGAGAGGACTCAGGACCAACAAATGGTCCTGTAAAGAAGTCTAGAAGGCAAGGAATTCAGGGGCACGTGGTAGAGTAAAGCAAATGGCTTACAGTTGGTTCTAGGCTGCAGCTGGAAAAGAGATGGGCTGAGAAAGAATGGGTGCAGGAAACCCTGCTTAGAGTGACAACAAAGAGCAAACAGTGGAAATGAAAGGTCAAGTAAATTCAGAGAGGGAATTCTGAAAAAAAAAAAAATGCTCTTAGTTGGGAAATTTTCAAAAATGACAAAAGCTGATGTGTGACAACAATGTCGTGTTACTGAATTGAGAGATGAACATTCAGATATAGAGAAGTTTTGAAATCAGGACTACCCTGGTCATCAACAATGAGGAAAATTCATGTCAGCAGCTGAAGTCATCAAGGAACACTGTATCTTGGAGGTCTAAGATGACAGCACAATTGTGAAGACAGGTGTTATGCTTATAGATGGTCTATGAAAAAGGGAGGTTTTGGTGGAGGTATGTGATGAAGACCTTTGACACCTGTGTGCACAGGGAGCCACTCATCTCAGGTGCATCATTCCCTCCTCTGCCAAAAAAAGTTCTTATAGTTTAGAAAAGCAGGCATATACTAAGATATTTCTGTGTTGGTTATTGCAATAACACATAATCCTTATTCTTCATCACTAAGCACCAAACATTTAAAACATGCACTAAATACAAAGCTAAATAAATTCTAAAATCCAGAAACTGGTGCCCGTAGTAAATGATGGAGTAAAGAATATGGAGTCACCATGAATCCTTCACACAGTAGCAATATGTGAATGCTTACTCTTTTTACATCAGTGTTTCTCCAAATTCTGATCCTTTCCCCTCACTGGATTCCTGTGTGCTACTTCAAAAACCAGTAAGTTTGTAAAAGGAGAAAACACTAACCATACACTAAACTTAAATACCATCAGAAACGCCAGATTCCAAGCTCATTAAACCCTTGGAAATACTCACACTATGGTAAATATTATGGCTGACCAACATCTCTCTATAGTACAATTGCCTTATAGTAAGTCTGTAGTAAGAGACAGGGATACAATTAGTTTAGTGTGTCCTATAAGACAAGGAAATGTATAGATAAAATCACCTACTGCATCACCCAATCAGTTGTCAAGTTCTTTAGAATCCTTTTCACTTCAGTAAATATTAAATCTAATTTATCCCAGTAATGAATTTAAAAAGTTGCATTTTTATAAGGAACATCAACCCCCTATTAGAGATGAGTGTGGGTAATCAAACTACTGGAGAATGCAAAAATACATACAAAGAAGAAATGCAAGGGAAATCCATCATGACATTGGTATTAGGGGCAGAATACTTCATATTATAGTGCCATGCCATTATGACAAAATTTATTTACAACACTATGAAAAGAGAAAATGATGCAACCCAAAAAGTAGGTAAAAATCTACTACAATGAATACCTTACATTTGACATAGCAGTCTTATTTCCAGGCCCTGGTTATTAAATTGAGACTAAAAGTGGTTTATTGATCTGTTTACAACACTCTAAAGACAAAAACTAAAACTGTTTTGTTCTGACATAAGAAAAAGCAATGGAAAGCACTTAGTCCACTGCCTGCTACATGGTCGGCACTCAGTGATGACAGTTCCCGAGCTCACTGACCCAAACATAGGTTCTAACACCCTTCAAAGGGCATCCACTGAAAATTCTCTGGGTTAAATGTCCATATTAGCAAGACACTGAATTTTAAAAGTGAGTCAATGTTAATTTCATACACATAAGTCAGGTTTTAGGTTGACGACGACGAACGAAGAAAAGAAACAAAACCAATGAGGGTGCAGAAAAAGACTGAAAGAGAAGGCAAGAGCAGTGTTAGTGTGAAGAGCAAACAACAAATTCCTCAAGTTCTGGGTCTGTCATGCAACATGCCCCCCAGGTTAATTTGCTAGGATGACACAGAATGGTAATGATTCTAGAACGTGGATTCAGGGGCTGCCAGCCCTGCCAGATACATTTACTTCCATAGCTCCAATCAATCTCTTGGGCAGCTGGTGGAAGCCCCCCTAGCTACACCCATGAGCTACTAGCCCTAGGGGCAGAGATGCCAACAGTGGCCAGTCTGAGAAAGTCAACTTATCCTGGTTTAGCCTCAGCTCCTACTAGGTGTGGCCCCTTAAAGGGTCCTCAGGGTCCTGTCTTTTCAATGTGATCCTTAGTACCTCAGAATATAACTTTATTCTCCCAGGTAAGTTGAGAAAGATCCTCAAAATAGTGTTCCTGCTAAATCCTCCACAGTATGGGTGCTCTACGGTTCTTTCAAAGAGCATCTCCTTTGATTAAGTTAGAACCAACTATTGCCCTTCCTTCCATCTGTCTCTGAATTCCAATGCTAGCCCTGAACTCAAGAAACCACTCCTAAGAGATCTCTCTCTAGTGTTGCACAAGAACCAAAACCCCACTATCAGCTCAGGAGAGTTCAAAGGTCCTTGTTAAAATTATGCATGCTAAACTGAAATAAGAGATTCTGGGCTAAAAAAAATCATAGTTTTCCATTTTGTCAAGGTGATTTAGGGTGAAATTTTCAGGATTAACTTCCCATTTATTGTGTATGATTGGGATAAACTGCCCAGTTTTTCATATTAACACATATTTACATAATGAATAAAGTACTGATTCATTCCTTCACTCCAAAAGTATTTGAGTGCCCAGCACTGTGCTAGATCCTGGGAATACAGTGAACAAAATAAACACAATCCCAAGATGTCATAATAAATCACATTGTGATATCTATCTCCAAAATAACCTAGCATATTTTAAATATTTAATGGCAAAACAAACTGGGTAGTATGGTGGAACAAATGGGGAAAAAACTAAACAGAGGATTTATCATTTAAATCTTTCTACAAATTATGAACATGTATTAATTATATGCAATACTGGGCACATATTTAAAAGAGCTAGTGTTTTTCTTTTAAAATTGCTATCATTTTGCATATACAAATCACATTAAAAGGTACTAATAGCTTGAAAAGGACTGCTTGTCAAGAGTAACAGTAATAAAATTCCAAACAGCAAAATTTTCATGCTAAGAATGAAAAAACACAGCACAATGACTTCAAAAGTAGTATATTGTACTATATATAATCTCAAAAAAAATACTCTTCCTAGCACATAAAAGATAGTTTTTCTTTTCCAAACTTAACTGATGGTTTCTGTATAAGGAACATGCAAATATATTAACAATTTTCTTACCAAAATAGAGCCCAATATATGTACAAACATTTAGGGGGAAAAAAGTTTGTCCTTGATTTTAACATGCACCTGTATGTAGAAACAGCCATATATACTCACAGGAATGACAGACACTGACAAACAGTTAACATTTAGCAAAGGCAAAAAAAGAAACAAAAAATCCTGCTAGGCCCTTTTTCTGCTTGACAAAGAATGGAGACAGTTACCAAAGTAACAGAAAGTGACACAAAAACCACACTTCAAACAAACCAACTGCTTGTCAGTATTAGGACTTGAGTTGACAAATAGGTTTAATCCAGTTCCTCAAAGGTCATGCTGTCAAGGTGAAGGATGAACATCTCCCGCTACTGCATGAGGCTGGCTGTCATTCTGAGGACAGGGTTCCTCCTCCGCCGCCACAGGGGTCACTTTGTCTGACCCTCCTGCAGGAGGAAGTTCGTTGTTTGTCCCCTCTTCACTAGGGGGGTTACCAGACAATTCATTCGACATGAGAACTTGCAAAGATTCTGTTCCATCTTCAACATCCACTGGAATGCCCAAAGCTTTAAGAATGTCACATTTGCACATAGGACAGGTCCCATGGGCCAGAATCCAGGGATCGATGCAATTCTTGTGGAAAAAGTGTTTACAAGTGAGAATACGCACTGTGTCATTAGGCTTATAGAGTTCAAAGCAAACTACGCAGCTATCTCCATTCGGACTGATTTCCTCGTCCCCCTCCTTCAGCACCCGAAGCTGAAGCTGGCCAAAGGCTTTCTTGAGATCGGTCGTTAACCGTTGCCATCTCCGGTTCTGAATCCTGGCTACCCAAAGTCTCCAAATATGATAAAAGATGAAATATGCTAAAGTAGCAGTTGTGACAATCACAAAAGACACAAAATAGTGATTCATCCAGATGATGTGTTTTCTCCCCACCTCAACTATGACTGTGACGTGAACTCCCTTCTGAATTAAGTGCAAAATCTCCATGCCCTTTAGGTTACCGATCATCACCACAATGATGTCTTCAAATGCCTGATGAGACATGGGAAAAACCTGATTACCAGTTCCTGGAAAGTTGTAGATGATCACTCCACTGGCTCCCTTCTCAACAGCTACTTTAATTTTCTGCGTGAAGGTACAACCTCCCCGTTCAACAAGCGCGAGCCAGGTCTCGGAGTTCTTTGATCTTCTGAAACTGGTATTGGGATTACACGCATTTTGAGTTTTCCCCTCTGGTGGCACTATAACTCCTGCTACTCTCTTCAAAGTGGAGCCTCTTCCAAACACGCCGGCTTCCCCCAACTCTGACAACATGCGATTCCCAACGTGAAAGGATATGTTCATGTAAGCAGTCCAAACAGCACTAGCTCTGCAACAGTTCTGACTAAGAAGCCAAAGAAAACTAAATTTCATAAGCCAGGAAGATGCAGTGTTGTTTCCATGAGTGCCAATCCTGAGTAGACTCATCTCTCTCTTCACCTAGAGACTGAAGTACCAACCCAACAAAATTATGTGGCTTCCACATCTGTTGGAAATCAATTCAGAACAATAACATGAGAAAAATCTTCCGGGTAAAAACAAGTTTCACTGTCTTCCAGCATGTTTTTCTAAGAAATTCTTAAAGATGTCTTATGAGGTTCCGATGTTTTATTAGAGAGAGAAACACTTTAGATTGAAAAAAAAAAAAATCCCAGTCTCACTAATGTAAACTCCAGATACTGTATGGGTAATGTGATTATGACATAAAAGACAACACAGCCAATTAGAGAAGAGCTTTGAGCCTGCTGGAAACTTACTGGCCTGAATGCTTCAAATACTGTTAGGGGTGATTTCTAGATTGTAAAATCAATTCAATCCTTGAGCTACATGTTAACAGGTATCACTTTAAACAAAAAATTAAATATAAAATCCATACAACACATGCACATACAAAACTTGAAAGCATATGCAAGAAAGCCACAGAATTATCATTTTTCTTGACAATAAATCAGGGAAACATGTAACAAAATGGCAAGTTTTAAATAATTAGAAATTAGTACTGTGAATAATTATGCGGGAAAAGCAGTGAGCTCTGTAGTACCACTTTTAATTCACATTTGGTCACAGTGCAAATTTTTTATTTATCATGTAAACCATTGTACTAAATTTATTTAATAATTGCTTGCTCAGGTTGGTTGGTTCAGTCTGGTTTTGATTTGGATTTTTAAAAGGAGGATTTTGATTTCTAAATCCTGTTAGATTACTTCAGCTTCACTTCTTCACTCTTACATTGACTCTCCATAGGGAAGACAGCGGTAAAGAACATTAATCTCTTTTCTCTGCAGATCTTGGCATCTGCTACTGATCTAACAATATTTTGAGGGAAGAAAGGAAGAGTAGGAGGAAAAAAATTATATGTAGCAGTCTTAGTTTAGCATAATTCATTTTAAACAAAAAGGCAGCTACTGATTTTTAAAAAGAAAAACGTCAAGGTCCCCATTTAGAGTTAACCACCGACAGCAGTGTTAAAGGTCATAGATGCTTTGAGCAAAACCTTTGCCAAAAATCAACAAACATCCCTGGTGAACTGACCCTCTCCACATGTGTGCACGCACACACATACCCTGTCATCAGCTCTGCCTTTATTTTTGCTACTTACATCAATGTCACAAAATGACTTGAGACCAAAGCGACTTGTGAACTAACAAACGTGGCCAACCCCAGGTGCTGCCATACACCTTCTTGAGGGTATCTCTCAGTGGTTCTCATCCAGTAGCTAGGAAACCAAGAACTTTGACCTTAAACACAAAGGTCTGACCTTTACACAGAGGATGCTAAGAGACCGTTTTGGTTAGGTCTTACCAGGACTAAGGGAGCTAGTTCTTTTTACGAAATGTGAATCAAAATAATTTGAGGCAGGAAAGGAAGAGAAAAAGGCCCTATAGGCCCAACCAAAGCAGCATAAAAAGAAAATATTACCATGTAAATTATAGCTCACGATGGTCCATTCTTTTCCCAAAGGCCATTAATCTGATTTTATTTCCATACAACCCATTCTTGAAAGTGTGTAGTACATAGTGTGTAGACTCAAAGTGTCATCTAAGTTGGATATCAATGGTTTAGCATTTCACCCACAAATATTTTAGTCAAAACCAGAACTCAAATCTTTCAGCCTCTTATTGTTACACACAGGTGTTTGTGTTTATCTACTCAAAAAGAGAAGCAAAATGAGGCAAGAGATACAATTTGTAAAGGCAATTAAACAAAATTTCAACTCCATTCTAGATCTATATCAAAATGCCCAGAGACACACTCATCACGATGTTAAGAAAACAAAAGCATTTACTACGGTCACTTCTAGAAGGGAAATCTGCCACCATAGCTAATTCACTATGCTAGGATTTAAAGGGCTGTAGCAAACAAAAGTGACTTTTTTTTGTGATGCTGCCCTAAACAAAGCCTATAATAATTTAAAATATTTTAGTTATATAACCAGAGGTGCTATCATCTAAAATAATTACCTAGAACACATTACTTAGTAACTTTGGAAACCAGATTTCCCGGTATTAATTAACCATGGAGAATTAAATCAAGATCTAATTCTATAATGAAATTTATTTAACAGCGATATTAGATATCAAAAGTATGGAAATAAAATATAAAAAAGAAACTTTAAAGTATCACGACTCTCTGTGGCCTCAATGTCACAATCATTTTAATTTGAAGACTAATTTGTTTTTTAACATATACTAATTTTCTTATTTGGATAAGGGCAAAGAAGTAGCAACCTAATAGAAAAACAACAAGTTCAAATAGCTGGGCATGATATGGAGTTTTATTTTAAAAACACACAAATTTCATCCTCATTAGTACTTAGGTAGAGAAGATGAAGTTGAGTTTTTTCTCTACATAAAAGTGCTAAAAGAGAATTCATGTAATTTTAATCTTTGGAAAGACTTGGTTACATCTTCAGAAGATTCTCCAGGTTTAAGTTTTCAGAATGTCACACTTGCACATGGGGCATGTCCTATGGGCTAAAAGCCAGGGGTCAATGCATGCCTTATGGAAAAAATGTTTGCAAGTTAAAATACGTACTACGTCTTGGGGTTTGTATATGTCAAAGCAAACAACACAACTGTCTTCATTTGGATCTAGTTCCTTATCCCCTTCCTTGAGCACTCGCAGTTGAAGCTGACCAATAGCTTTCTTCACATCTGCTTTTATCTGTCTTCGCCCCCTGGTGGAAGAATTGGGCACTCGAGGTACCCATGCACAGTACAAGAAAAGGTAGGCAGCTGTGGCAGCCAGGAAGGTGAACAGAGACATGACATAATGGCTCAGCCATGGCATGTGCATTCTCCCCACTTCAATGATGATCGTCACATAAACTCCCTTCTGAATCAAGTGCAAAAGTTCCATGCCTTTCAAGTTGCCTATCATCACTGCGACTATATTTTCTGTTCCCTGGTGAGACATGGGAAACACTTTGTTGCCCGTACCTGGATAGTTATAGATGATCACCCCATTTGCTCCCTTCCCTGCTGCCACATTGATTTTGTGTGTAAAAGTACAGCCTCCCCGTTCAATGAGGGCCAGCCAAGAGTCTGCCTGTTCAGGCCTGCTGAAGTTGGTCAAAGGATTACAAGCATTCTGATTCCATCCTTCGGGAAGTACCACGGCACCAGACACCCTTTCCAAAGGAGAATGATTTCCAAACACTCCACTCTCTCCTAATTCTGATATAATCCGATTTCCCACCTGAAAAGTTATATTCAGGTGGGCTGTCCAAATGGCTTTTCCTTTAGCGTCAGGAAGGCTAAGTAGTAGGAAGATGCTAAGCCTCAACAGTCGCGATGAAACAGAACTATGAGTTGAAGCAGTAATTTGAAGTAGGCTCATTCCTCCATTTGCCTATTAACTGACACACAAAAAACAAAACATCAATTATAAAGCAAAGAAGCTAACTCCAATTGTTGGCAGTAGATATTAAAGCGCATAAATGGAAAAAGGTCTGTGTCGATCAAAGGTATGCTGCTCCTTCCAGCATTTTTATTTTTGGTAGATTATCTTTCTTATAATGAAACAGAATGACAAGAGTTGTTATTACTATAATGTGATTTAAGGAAAATTATGACTTCCTAATGGGGAAATTGTGACATCAGAGGTGGTTAAGCCAATCCAGTTGTTTATAATAGGGCATTGCATACTGAAATCCTATTGGCCAAAAAGCTACTAAGCAAGGACTCATGGTATACAACAATCTGAATAAACTCTAAAGCAATAAAGAGGGAAATTTATATTTTTAAGCCTTGAGTTTCTTCCCCAGTTCTGGATAAAGTGAAAAGCTGCCTAATACCACTTTATATTCATTGTTTTTCTGTTAAGCAAAATATAACTTTACGTATTAGTGCATGTGGTTGGCCAGTCACCATTTCTCATGCATGGTTCTATGCTACCCAATATGCTAATCAATGGGCAGTAGGAACAAATCATTCCCACTCTCTCCCAACATTAAATGCTTATCCCAGATTCAACATGAGGACAATAAACATGTTGTAAGATTGATACATTGCCAACATGCAAGGCAAATTCAACTTTTCACTAAAATTACTAAGAACCTACTATGTGCCAGGTAAACACTAAGCATGGTTCATATACTAGACAAGAAAACAGACACACACCTACTGGAGCTTACTATCTGGTGAGGGCAGATTTTAAACACACACACACACACACACACACGTATAGCTGCAAGTTGTGATAATATGGTTCTGGAAGGAAAACAAGAGTATCAAGAATAATATAAAAGCAGCCAGACTTTGATTAGAGGTGCAAAGCATTGCTCCCCTAAGGAAGCGGTACTTAGCCTAAGACCTGAAAGATAAATCAGAATTACCCAAGAAAAGAATAATGTATCAGGGAGAGGAAATGGCAGTTTCAAGACCCCAACACAGGAAAGACATAGCCAGTGAAAGGATCTGAAGCCATATATGTTTGGCAAGATGAGAGAAGAGAGTGCAAAAGTTAATGAGAGGGGAAAGCAAATAGCAGTCAGTGTTCAGGGTAGTAAATGCTACACCAAGGATTTTGGATTAGGTCCCAAGGACAAGAGAACCATGCTGGGGGGTTCCAACCTGGGGAGGCGACTTTTAAGCATTTCAAAACGCTGACTTCTTAACAAGTGCACTTTGGCTGCCCTATGTGGGAAGTGGATTGGAGGAGGAGAGTAGAGCGGTAAGATGACAGTGGCTTCGACTCCTGAAATGGCCAAGTAGAGAAGCAGAGGAACAGACAGGTCCGCTAGTTACTTCAAAGCCTGAATTAACAGATGTGGTAACTGGAAGGGTAGTAGTGGACTGAGGAAAGGATGACCACAACTGTCGCCAATCACTGTATTACTTTATTGTTGCAAACCATGGCATCTTTACTGCTTTAAAGATCCTTTAATGCTGGTTTGCTTCTATTTTAAATCTTCACTTGAGGTCTGTTTCAAGGCTTCAAAAAATTGGCAACACTCAAACGTTTATTTACTTTATATAGGACATAGCCTATGCCCCAGGCATGCTAAAACACCCTGGGGATACTACAACAACAACAGACTAAAAGACAAAAAGAAACCAAAGGCATGTTGGAAGAATTTTTTCATTTTGACAAACATTTAATTGTACTCCCCAGCTCATAATATTTAAGTTAATATTCATTTTTAAAAATAAAATTGGGGGCACCTGGGTGGCTCAGTTGGTTAAGCGACTGCCTTCGGCTCAGGTCATGATCCTGGAGTCCCGGGATCGAATCCCGCATCAGGCTCCCTGCTCAGCAGGGAGTCTGCTTCTCCCTCTGATCCTCCCCCATCTCATGCTCTCTCTGTCTGTCTCATTCTCTCTCTCAAATAAATAAATAAAATCTTTAAAATAAAATAAAATTAAATTAAATTGGAAACAAACTTGTATCATTCATACCATTTTCTTCAAGTGTGTTGTAAAGACAGATAAAATGAAGACTTTTCCCAGTTTCAAACTGAGTGAATCCCTGGCCCATTCTATTAACATTAATGAAGTGAAGCCTTACTAAGACAACAGTTTGTATCATCACATTAGAGGCTGTTTACATCTGCGATTACTTAACATTTGGGGGTAGGATTTTAAGAAGTAATTCTCTAAGTCATGGAAATAAACAGCACAGCATAAGGAATATAGTCAATGGTATTGTAACAGCACGTATAGTGACAGATGGTAGCTACACTTGTGAGCAGAGCATCATGTATAAACTTGTCCAAACATTATGTGTACACCTGAAAGTAATGTAACATTGTGTGTCAACTACACTTGAGGGAAAAAAAACACCAATGGAATAGAATTTAAAACACTGGAATTACCTCCTTCCAAATTAGTTTATTAAAAAAAAAATCACTAAGTTGTAGAGACCTAACGTACAGCAAGGTGACTGTAGTAAATAATAATGTATACTCAAAATTTGCTAAGAAAGCAGACCTCAAGTATCCTTATCTCTCTCACCCACAAATGGTAACTATGTGAGGGGATGGATATGTTAACTAGCTTAATTGCTAGAATATCAAGATGTATACATATATCAAAACATCACATTGTACACCTTAAATACATACAATTTTTGTTAATTATGCCTCAGTAAAGCTGGTAAAAAAAAAAGTAATTCTTTTAGTTTGCTAATTTTTAAGGGTAAAGAGTTTAAACAGTAACTATATTTTGGCTAAAAACATCTCAAATCTCAAGGTTCTTCATATGTTTGACTAAACGGATTTGAAAAATTTACTAATTCATTTTATCTTTCTCACCATAAGGTGAAGTGACTAAGGCAATGATAGAACTTCCCCTGTCTTCTTCCTGAGTCTTAGAACAAATGCAACTATAAGAAACAATCCTTTGCCCCCCAACACAGTGGTTTCCAAGTGGGGGACAACTTTCCCTTGAGGGACATCGGGCTATTTCTGGAGGTATCTGACTGTCACAATGACACAGTACCACTGGCATCTACTGGGTAGAGGCCAGGGACAACTTTTAAACATCCCCAAATGCACATGACAGCCCTGTGAATTAATTAGCTGGTCCTAAAATGTCAATAGTAAGGCTAAGAAACTAATGGAACAAGCTTGGGAGGAAGGAACCATCCCAAAACTCACTTCTCCATGAAAAACAAACACACCTGAGCTCTTATCAGGGAGTATGTTTTTATAACTGACAATACATCTATCAAAAATGATGCCCTTTCCCATTTTCCTTGGAATAGACACAGTGGAGACCTGCACAAGCAACCTATCAGTCCATGAAGCCTGATTACAAACTGCATCCATTTTATGAGTACCAGACCCAAGAGTCTTCTATCCTGAGGCCAGGATACTTGAATAGAAAAGAAGGGGGAGGGCATGTGGACTGGATGACCGATGCTATTCTAATCTGTTCCTTTTAGACCATTTATTCAATATATAGACTTCCTTTCTTTTTAACAGCAAGTTCAGTCTGAACTTTGCAGGAGGGTTAAAGAGAACTGACATACTCCTATGGTTGGCTGATCCACTGGTTTAAAAAATCCCCTTCTTCCATCTTGTCATTCTACCTAAGTACATCGGTTTTCGTCTTACGTAGGCTCACATCACGATCCCCCAAGGCAACTACTGTTATTTCACATATCAACAGGCAGAATGGTAGACCATCCAGAAGCAGAGAGACTTTTCTTCTGCCATATCTCTACAAAACTTGATGTCACTCTGGCTAGCAGTGCTTCACAAACCCATGCCTAATGGGACCCCCTAGAAATCACAGAATTATCATGACAAACTCAGGTTAATCACAATTTACCCTGCTGGGGAGAACCCGTCCCCTAGCAGAGCACGTGGTGAGGGGGACTGTAAACCTAACTGGTACTCTGCCATCAAGGAAAAAAGGTATAAACTGGAACGTGAGTAGGTAAAACAGCTACAGGCTGTAAATTCCTGAGTTTTACCCAAAGGAATGATACTTAAATAATCATTAACCACAATAAACATGTAATACACACTCTATACTCTGTACTAACAGAAGCCAGAGCGTGTATTACAAGGAACACAACATGGCTCCTATGTTAAGGAGGTCATCATCTAGGCAAGAGAAAGGAGTTATACACAAATTAGGAATGTGCATGTATATATCTTAACTTTTAGGTTCCAACTAAAATTTCAAGAAAGGTTATAATTTTCATTAAGTTGGGGGGTGTGTAAAGCAGGTGATTTCTATTCCTCTGCTATTCATCAACCTTTGTTAAGAATGCTCAAACTTCCATAATCTCTGCTCTGATGAGAGAAATAGCCAAATATATTCAGACAGCATTGCCCAGATAGTACCTCTAAGACACAGGGAATACTGAAGAAACTTCAATAAATTATTTCGCAAGTCATAGAGTCCAGGGCTATGATATTTGAGATCTCCAGGAATCCACAAAACACAATGGATTTGCATTTAAGTTTGAAAACCATGTAGCTTTTCTGCAAGTAATTAAATGCATCATAATGGGATTTGGCAGGAACAGATTACTGACTCAGAGTAGTTCACAGAGAACCACCAAAAAGCAAATAATGCTGATATTTTCTGAAAGTAGTTATCTTTAAGGATGTTTAAAGATAAAACTAAATCTTAGCTTACATTTTATTATATTTGATTGTAAACTGTTAAGTTCTCATAAACAATGAATTTTCTCAATTTCTCCTATAAGTTAATCACTGCTCTCACATATTCTCAGACAAATGCAATAAAAAAATTCTTTAATATACAAAGGGACTTTCTCCTCTGAATATTTCTGAATCCAGAAAAGAGTTCTGAATATGCTCAAGTGAAATACAGTAAAGTTTAAAAATAATATGAGTTTCTGAATTACCTTGAAAGTCACATACTATGTACTAGGGCAGGTCCAGATGCATGAAAACCCACAAAATTTACTCAGGCTCTTATTATTTATATTAACCAATACAATGACTTTCAATTTCATTAAAGGCTCTGGTAAATAAGCATATTAGAGAAAATGAACAGCCAAAGCAGACACATTTTAAATCACCACATCACTATCCATGACTCCTTCACTAATGTGAGCCAGGATTGCTATTCCTTTCTATTTACTGCATGCCTAATAGTCAGATGCATGAACAAAGCTTAGCTGTGTAAGAGCTCCAAAGCTCCAAGAAGCCATCATGACATTGAGGAAGAGGAATACTCACATTTCTCAAACACTTAAGAACACTGGCTCAAAACAGCTTGTTTGAATGAATGATTAACACGGTCAGGTTTACCACACTTGAATGAATACTTTCCACTGCTTTAGTTTAGCCTTCAAAATCATTCCCACAGTGTACAATTCTGCAATAGCATCTTATCTAATCTCCCATCACTGTTTTGCTCACCTTGGATTCATTCTGTTGCCAGAGCAACCTACAGACAAAAAGTAATGAAGTTTACAATGGCATTCATGTTTGCTGAAAACCTTAGATGGCTTGCTCTATCCAAAGGATAATACCAAACATCTAAGAATGGAATATTAAGCCTCTCCAGCATAGTCCTCTTTCCTTTCATCCAGTCTAATTTTCTACTATTAACAATCCTGAATTTTATGCTTCCTCAATTCAAACAGCTTACGGCTTCCCAAACTCCTATTGCAGCAGCCACTATATAAGACCTTACATAGGCTTTATCCCTTATACAAAACTGCCTGTCTCTATGGTAGGTACAGATTGCAAATGACACCAATTACCTCCTTCCCTCTAGCGACACCACCTGCAAGGTGACTTAGCAGGTCCTTCTATCATGGGATTTATTTCTATACCCCTTGAATCTGGAGGGACCGGTGACTTACACAGGTGAACAGACTAGAGCAGAAGTACTGATGTGTCAGTTCTGAGCCTAAGCCTCAGGAGGCCTTATACTCTTCCCCATTCCCCATCTCTTGGAACCCCACCACCCTCAAGCAAAGTAGATGAGCCTAAAAGATGAGAAGAAACCTTGGAGGACAGCCTAGATATCCTAGCTGAGCCTACCTGAGATCAATCTACAGATGGACCAACATGTGCAAGAGCCTAAGACGAGCAGAGATGTCTATGTGATCATAAAGACGGAGTCTAGGCAAGACCTGAAGACTCACCTAGTCAACCCTAGACTTCTGAGCAGTAACAGATACTGACTCTCATTTTTTAGTTTATGCAAAAAATTGTCCTGATATACAGAGTTTTGGGGTGGTTTGTTATGTAGCAGCTAACACAACTCCCTCTACAAAATTATCTATTAATCTCCTTGAGGCCTGGGACTCAATCTTACTTTTTTCAGTACTCATCCTCTACCACAACATCTAGCACATCCTAAGTTCTCAGTGAAGGCTGAATAAATTGTTAGTGTCATTATCCTCCATATTTTAACCTATACTATTCCTCATGCAGTAACATATTTAGTTTCATCTTTACAAGGGTGATAATTTTAGAGCATAACATAGTTAGAAAATGCATCATGAGTTCAATCTTTAATTGTTCTGTAGACTTAATACTCCACACTGGATTTCCTATAGCCATACTTGAACACAAAGATAAATGAGCTTTTAGGATACGACCCTTTAAACTGTAATGGGTATAAATCAAACTACATAAATTATATTCCATTCTGCATTCAGAATTCAAGTCAAGGTTCACATAACTAACACTAAATCGAAAGACAATTTTTCCTTCTCAGTCTACCTAGTTGGAACATAGAACGGTAATCAACAGAGAAGGAACACATTACTAACCAGTCTGAGAATTGGGGAAAACCTTCACACTGTAACCTTTGCATTAAGAAGGACAGAGGAAGGAGGTGAACGTCCTTAAGTAAACACAAGATTAAGGACAATATTGGATGGTATGCTCATCTTTATTTAATCCTAGGACAAAAGACATCTTAATATTAACTCAATCATTTAGACTGGATTTTTATTTGAAAGGCTGGAGAACAGGGAATTTACTCAATAAAAGGGTGAGGGAAGACATACCAAAACTTGTCCTGTTCTCTTAATAGACTATTTTGCTCCTGTAGTTAACAAGAGCCAACAATGAAGACCAAATGTATATGAAGGCCGCTTTTGAGGCTCTGCCATTTTAAAGTTCTTCTAAACCCTAAAGTAGATTCTAGACCTTTCAAAGCCAAAGTCGGTCATCGAAGGTTTCTATGTTTTGCCTTCCTAAGACCAGTCCCACTGAGCACAGTTAACTCTGAGTAAGCACTTAGCAGTCAGAAATAGCAGGATAGAGGTAATTAAGAAGATTTTCCCACTTAGATCCGTTATATTTTTCCAATTCACAGGTCACAAAACCCTTCTTCATTTACAAGGTAATTGAATCCCTCCTGGGAGGCAGCAGACAATCAAAAACAGGAGTATGGAGGCATCATACCCACAGCAACTGTGTTAATGCCCCCCAGCTGTGTGCAGACTCACTCTGAAACCCAGTCCTGACCACATGCTCGCTGAGTGAGGTGAGGCACACTGAGCCTCAGATTTTTCATTTGTAAGGTGGAGAAGTAATGTCAGCCTCCCGGCACCATGGAGTATCAGATGACCACTTTCACATGTATTTGTAAATCACCAAGTACACTGCTGGCATGGCAGGGCTCACTAAATGGGCCCTCTTGCCCCTTCCCAATTCTATACAGCCTATTTCCCCCCATTTTCGACCAAATAAAGTTCTTCTGAAGCTTCAAGACTCATCTCGGTCTTCCCTTTGCAATCTCCCCAGACAAACGCACCTGCTGCTATGACACACTGTCTTTTGCATCTGACAGTAAATCTTGCCACATATTGCATGTATGCTTGTGTCTGTTCAT